AATGGGAAAATACAGTTATTTTGGATAGAGAATCAAATTACAAAAAAAGAATTAGATCTGAGATGATTAATATTAATATTAGTGATAACACGATTAACAGGAAAGAAGATGTGAAGCTTCTCAATAAACAATACTGTCGGATTGTAAATGTTGTAAAAGAGATGCGCTCTTGTCATTGAATTTTATTTGTGTGATTCGAATTGTTCGGGCATCTCCGTTTCGTGCTTGACTCTGATTGGTTGTTTAATTGCTTACTATATTGACATTTCTAGTATATAGACAGTTTTACCACTTTAAAATTCACAGTTCATTTTATATCTCTGACTTTTCGGTTTGTTTCTGAATAGTAAAAATATTTTATTAATTAACATTACTATGACTTAGGTTTTCTATAGTTGTGAGTACGAATGATTTTATTATTATTGTTAGATGTGTACTGTAGTGTTATGATCATGTCGATTTGTTTATAAAAAAGTTTTTAATTGTTCATAATTTTTTTTAATAAAGTTTTCCTGAAGAGGCCATGAATTTATGGCGAAACGTTGAAATTTTCAAGAGTGTTGTTTTAATTACATGAGGGATTTTCCTTAACCATTGTTTATATATGAGATTAGCATATAAAGAGTTCTTTTACTAGTGACCAGAAGTTACTAGAACCGAATCATAAGTATGATTGGCGTGATAATGCTTTGAATTATAACGATCTTCCAGATGATGACTATGATCTTTCATCTATTTCATGATTTTACTCAAAAAGTTCTTTGGAATTGTTTGAACTCTTTTTTTCTCAATCAATGAAAAACTATTATAGAAGCTACTTCCGAAAACCACTTTGAATTAACCAATGATGATTTAGACCGATTCATCGTGATCATTATGATTACTATAGTCAATTCTAGGACTTGATTGGTCCAACAAACGACTTTTGCAGTGTCCAATAATAAAAGAACTTATGCCAAGGGAAAAATTTGTAAAAATAAAAAAAAACTAGGTTAAAAAACTAGGTTAAAAAACTAGGTTACTAAAAAATTAGGTTTTATAAACTTCAAGACAAAGATAAAAAAGATAAAGTCTGGAAAGTCAGATATTTATTTGAATTATTTAGGGAAAATTGTATGAGATATGGATTTTTTGATTATAATTTGTCAATTGACGAATTTATGGTCAAATATTTTGGAAGATTCAGCATCAAGCAATGCATTAGGAACAAACCTATAAGATTTGGGATAAAGCTATGGGCACTATGTTCTTCAGATGGATATATATATATGATTTAGATATATATACGGGCAAGTTTGGTACTGAATCTGAAAATCCTTTAGCTTCTGTTTGTTTGGGATCGAGAGTGGTTATCAAATTACTTCAAAGGTTCCTGGAGACGGTTAAAAATGAAAATCTGGCAAAATATCATTTGTTTTTTGATAACTTCTTTACATCTCCAGATCTCATGATTCACTTAAGAAATATTGGATTATCGGCTACAGGAACTGTTCGTCAAAATCGTGTCAAAGCAAAAATTGATATGTCAAAGAAAGCTGATAGAGGAACCACTATCTCAGTTCATGAAGCCAATTCAAAATTGAATTACATAACGGTGATGGACTCAAAACCCGTATCAGTTCTCTCAACTAAATACGGAGATGAACCGAAAGTTGAAATGAAAAGATGGCATAATAAAACTAAACAGAAAATTCTCTTTCCTCAAGCTTTCTCAATGTATAATAGGCACATGGGTAGAGTAGACTTACACGACCAGCATCAGCATTGTAATGCACTTATGCCTACAATCCGAAGCAAAAAATGGACGTGGTGTCTCTTCATAAGACTTATTCAAGCTTTATTAGCTAATGCTACTGTTATTTACAATAAACTCCATCCAGATGAGAAGAAAGTTTCAAAAGATATTGTGGAGGAAGTTTGTGAATATTATATTCAAAAACTCGAAAATACTCATCGACCCAAACGACAGAAAAAAGTTGAAACTCCGACAGAGGAACATCAGATAAAGGTTGGGAAACGTAGAAAGTGTGACAACGAAAATTGTTTTGTATTGACTGAATATTGTTGATTAAAATGTGATATTTATTTTTGGAAAACTCACAGAGAAACTCATTCGTAATTGTTTTTAAGGATGTGTTTTGAAGAAAGTAGTTCTTTTATCCATAATGATTAACAAAAACAGTTTGGTCGAAAAAAATAATGTTAGAGAGGTTTTTGTCAGCATCACTTCTCAGTTTCAAATTGTTTATAACGAATATACACCAACAAAATCGAGTCTAACAAGAAAATCTTACAGAGGTTTTCGCCTTGGTTTTTTCCGTAGAACCGATTGCCGTAAATTATTTTTCAAAAAACTAAAACTTTTGTCAATTTGTTTAAATAACTTTTTATAAACAATTGGAAATGCAAAAAGAAAAAACACGTGTAAATTATTTTTGAGCTATAACATGAACCCAATAGTTATTTCAAGGCTATCTCGACTAGATTCGGCTTGGGATACAACGAGGTCAGCTCACTTCTCAGTTTCAAATTGTTTATAACGAAATTACACCAACAAAATCGAGTCTGACAAAAAAACGCTACAGAGGTTTTCGCCTTGGTTTTTCCCGTAGAACCGATTGCCGTAAATAGTTTTTCAAAAAACTAAAACTTTTGTCAATTTGTTTAAATAACTTTTTATAAACAATTGGAAATGCAAAAAGAAAAAACACGTGTAAATTATTTTTGAGCTATCACATGAACTCAATAGTTATTTCAAGGCTATCTCTACCAGATTCGGCTTGGGTATTAATGGGTTAATTGACTTTATTAGTTAATAACTTTTGACGACACTAATTGCGATAATTATATATTGTATTAAATAAACAAATAACGTATTCGGTAAAGTTCACATGAATTAAAAGCTCATTATTAATGTTTATTTACTTGTAAATTAAGATAATTCATTTCTTAAAATTCGCGAATGTTTCTCGAATATGCGAAAACTTCTCGAAGAAAACGCTCCTGCGAAAATAGGCGGGAAAATTTGTGTACAATAAGCCCACTATTGCACAGGCTGGCATTCACTTCTAGCCTTGCAAAGTGAGCGCACGAGTCTGAATAAACTTGGCTAATACCTAAGTTCTTTCTCTCATTGTGATTAACTGAGCAAGACCTTTCCTTTCCTATAATTCGAGCTCAACTTATAGAACATCTCGCGCTATAAGAAACTTGGGCCGAATTATATCCTCTACAAGGAAGATTTTAGCTCTGCTTATGGGACAATTCGCACCATACGAAACTAGGACATAGTCTAACTTTCCTTGAAATCTCATTCATATCGCATGTATTTGATTTATCAATTTATTTTATTGAGAAGTAGAATAGATTTATTAGAAACGAATTCTTACTCATTAACGCTACTAGATACGGGAGTACGAATTATTATTTATAAGTGATACAAACATCACAATACCAAATAATAGTATAACAATCAATTTTATAACTATTCAGATGATTTTAGAGTTTTTATAAAATAGTTTATAATAACTAGTCATAGAATTGCTATATTTTTGCGTTATCTCAATTTATTATTGATTTCTCAGTAGTAAGTGACAATGTAAAATTAAGTACATCAAAAAACATTTGTTTGCGATAATTAGTTATAAATGATAGCGTCACTTTTGCTGTAAAAAATGACACTCTAAGAGCCATCTCTGGATAAAAGGGCCCAAGTTTAGAAAGGACCGCTCTCTTTCTCTCTGAAAACTCGTGCCCTCCGACCAATTATGTCTTCTGACTCGTTCGAGAAAATTCCTCAACCAATGCGGAAAATCTCCACTTTGCCCCTCATGGGCCTGATGAAGGGGATTTCCATCCAACCATCCAGAGGTTATAAAAAGCTCTGCACAAGGCTTCAAAGGGGCTAGAAGTCAGAAAATCGGAGAGTGAAGGAGTAAAGCAGTAAAAGAGTTCAAAGAAGTCGAGCAAGTCAAGAGAAGAGTTTGTTCGGAAGTTCAGGAGTTCGAGAGTTCAGTAGCCCAGCAGTTAGAAGAAGTAAAGAGGAATAGCCAGCCCCAAAAAAACCAGATCAGAGAGAATCAGAGTAATAAAGAACAAAGAGCAAGAGTGCCGAAATTCCCATTTCAAAGTCATAAAATCATATATAGTAAAAAGTCAGTAAAACTTTTATGTGTCTGTCTTTTTATTCTTTAATAGTACCTTCTCTGGAAATTCTTCAAGCAAGAGTCTGGTGAATTTCCATTAGAACCCCTTAAGAACACATTAAGCAAGAGTCTGGTGTGTTTGTAATAACACTTAGTTTGGCTTGCTCGTCTCGGCTAATGCGTTACGTGCAAGCCAAATCAGAGTGACCCTTAGTCTACGCTTACTCCAAGCGTACCTGGGAGTGACCCCGATGTCACAGTACTATAATTCCTTTGAGTAAAATTCATTTTCAATACAGTCATTGTTAATTTTCTATAACGCAAGTCAGAACTTTTGATAACAATAGAGGTTGACCTACGTAGAATAAAAAGACATCTGCTTTGTAGGGTCATTGGATCATGGAGATCCAAGCCTGTAGTTTTGAGAACCCTATGATCCATAACCTAAATACATTTTTAAATGTAAAATTTTCTGTTCTTTTGATTGCCGATGTCCAAAATAGAGGTTTCTATTTAAGAAAGTAAAGTTAATCTTGAAATATCATTGAAGGACATGCACAAAGTCAAATTCAAGGTCACAAATCGATTCCTCGTGAAAAGTTACCCATGGAATTACCTTGACTTTTTTTAAATAATAATTTACCAGGCTTAAATTTTGAGATGTTACGTAACTTTTGGGACATATTCTATAAGAAATAATCTGAAAAAAATCTTTAAACGCATTTTTCACGAAACTACATTTTTCAAATCGGCACAGACTTGTTATTCGTAACTAGAAGTTCGATTTTTCTCATTTTTTTCTATGTAGGTTTATTTGTCTATCTGACAGCGTAATCCACTAGAAAATTACAAAAATATGTAATTATAAAATTAAGTTTGGTAGTAAAGTCGAAAAAAAACATGAAAAAAATATATTTTAAGGTTCATTTGAAACATCAATTTTACTTGTGATTATGTTTAATTTCATTAATTCAACAAAAATGTGGTTGTTAGAATTTCAGTATTTTAGTGCGTGACTGCAGATAACTGATGAATATATGATTATAATTTTTCCTGTGAGTTTTTGCCTAATTGGTTTGGATAATATTATCTTCTTTAATAATAATTCCATTACTCTTGTCTTGAACAATTATTCTCATCAGCTTCTTTATCTTTAATCACTTTGAGAGCCAAGGCATCACGATTTTCTTGAAATTTATTTTTTTCTAGAATTGTTAAAATATTATAATTAGGTTATTGTTATAGTATATCATTTCTTAAATTATGAATATTTTAATTATTATTAATAAAATAATGGGAATTAAGGTGGATTAATGGGTAAGAGCTCAAACTTCTATCATTTTCAGAAATTTCTATGTTGATTACCCTGGTCTGGTAATTGAGATTCCATATTAAACTAACACGTGTGATATGTGTGAAAGCCATCACTTTTTTTATATAGAACATAAACGTTATTTAGTTATTTAGTATTTATATTTAGTATTTATACCAGTGTTTTTGCACTTTTAGGTTAGGATATCTAAAAAATTTGACGTGATAGAACAATGCCAGATTTGTAATTAGTGCACCAAAATCCTTTGAAATACTATAGCTCGCTTGTGATACAAAATCTTGTATACCTGTGTTATTCCAAATTTTGGAAAGGCTGGTTTAGGCTCTCAACTGTCTCATTGTAGTCATGAAAACCCTACTACTGACGTGACATGAGATCACTTGTGTGAAATAGCAATCAATACAGCCCAGAAAACTAAATATTGTAAACGCTACTGGGTTATACTAAATTCATTGCGGTTAGCGATGAAGTATTCTCAGCTGCATTTTAACCAATCATACGAGATGCAAATATGCAGACAATGATAAAGCTGCAAAAAAACTTGAATACGGTTTCTCCATGATTTAAAATTTTTTTCAGTTTTGTAAATGTGAAAAAATAACGCGTTATAGGTGCGCAGATAGAGTTTCCTGAATTAATGAGTAAGAAAAAAGACAGCCACATGCAACCAAGGAAGACAAATAGAGATAATCATCATTATTACAAACGTGGTTGCTGAGAGAGAGACAGGTGAGTTGAACTGATTGTGCTTTATCTTATCATAAGATGATACCACATCTGGTGTGTTAGAAATACAACTGTTAGACAACATAGCCTGACGAGAAACTTGCTCATTAGATGATATTAGTTATTCATGGTAGATTTTGGATCACTAAATTCAAAGTTGACCTTAGAATTACTCTATCTTATTAAGTTTTTTAAATATCTTAACCTAAAACTGCAAAAAATGCTTGTTTTCGCTGTTTTTAAGGTACCATAACATCTTGAATACATTTTTTTTGAAAAACCGAGTACGCTATCTTAAAGAAGCACTCTTACCTTCTAAATTTATTTTTTAAAGTTTGGAAAATCTTTTTTTCTGTCCAAGATATCGTCATTTGAAGTTTACTGTTATAGCAATTTCGTTAAAGCCTGAAAATAGAGTGAGTTATTTAAAAAATCAATGTAACGTATTTTACTGTATTTAGATCACCGAATCGATACTCATTATCGAAATTGCACCATAACTTCAGAATCACATGAGACGTTTTTTCTACAGATATATATAAAGCTAACGCGGATGATTGAAATAATATTTTTTATAAAACAAAGTATTACTGGACACCATTAAATACCTAACCTATATCCACTGATACCGTAGGCATTTGAGCATGCGTCGGTTTAACGATGAACACTTTAACCTAAAGCGTTGCAAGAGACTCTTACAACCCAATTTTCTGGACCCACAACTCCGGTAACCTGCTGGTTCTTAACCTCCAACCCTCTCAACCCAATTTCCTCAACCCTCGAGCCCGATAACCTGCTGGTTTTCAACTCCCGAATCTTACGATAAGAAGAATACATTAACCAAGTTTTGCTCGTTGTAAAGAATTATAATCCGTACAAAGGAAGTCAAAATACAGTATGATTAAAAAAATTGTACTAAAATCTGATTACATTGTTTTTCAACAAAAAATTTTACATAATTTATATTCGGTAATGTTCATAGTGATGATAAGACACTATTTACCAAATTTGTAGTTCGAAAAACTTTACGACTTTTATAAGAGGGGTGAGAATGCAGTGAAAACACGATTATTCACACAACACTTAATTTACGGACCATAAACTCACCAAATCCCAAGTTCACAACCCTCAAACTATAAACAAATGTTAAACGTTTGTAACATCAACGTGCGCTTCCAGAACCAACTGCGAGAAGGTACCAATCACTAAGTTCTTTTTTTTTGTTTTTGTTTTTTTTTAATTTTACTGGTTTTATTAGAAATAAAAATCAATGGTGTGACGAATATCCCAAATATAAATCACAACTACAAAACTTCCAAGCTAATTCAACGTTTCGCCAGTTTGTTCATGGCCTCTTCAGGAATACTTTATTAAAAAATTATACAAAATTAATTAATACATTCAAATTATAAAATATCAAACAGTAAATTACGAATAAATGCACTCACAATTTTAAAATGCTTTCTAAATATTGTCAACATGAATTTTCTTTCAGTGAAACTGAAATCGTCAACTGTGAAAATTATAGTCAATCACGTGTATCACGATGCATGATTTAGAAAGGACTGAAATATAAGTAGTAATGCCGTCAAAATTTCAAGTTAATCCGATTATGAACAAGACTACTATTTAACAGACGAAAATTAAAGAATATATACTGGTATTATTATTTTTAAAGTTTTAAACAATATACTGTTAGTATTATGTACAATTGTTGTAATTTTATTGTTCTTGAAAATGGCATCTTAGGTTTTTATATAGGCATAAATTTAAGCTTACTAGCCTGTCGTTTATGCACAGTTATTACATCATCACGTTTGAGTAACCAACAGTAGTCAGCTATCATGACAGAATCCCATCGTCCTGGATACCTAGATTCAATAACTAGTAGATCCTGGTGAAATCTCTCTTCCTGCTCATCACTTAAATCACCTAAATTTCCATCCGTGAAGAGATCGAGATGGTCATGCTAAAACGTAGTTTTTGACTCATACAACATCCTAGATCTTTAAATTTTTCTAACATGTTTTTTACAAGCTCTTTGTAATTGTTTTCTTTTTTATTTCCGAAGAAACCATTTGTGACTTTTTTAAATACAAACCAGGCTTTTTTTTCTTTAATACACATGGTTTTCTTGAAATTGTCATCTTTATACAGCAATTTCATTGGAGGCTTAAAAAAATTCCTGATTTTATTTTTGCGTCACTAAGTTTTGGAAATTTTTTATGTAGTACTGAAAACTTGCATTTGATTGATCGAGCTCTTTTACAAGCTGCTTCATAAACTGCATAACTATATGCAGTGGAGATAAAAGAATTTCTTTTCGATCAACTAACGCTTCGTGAAGGATGTTCATGGATCCGGGTATTAGACTCTTTCTACTAGGTCAGTTCTTTTGTACCTAATGCACCTAATCAGTTCTACTATCCCACTTGCAGATGAAACATGGGCATTTGGTGTATCCACTTTGTTGGCCTAGAAGAGTGGATTTGACTTTAAAATCACCGTATATCTTTCATTTACGTTTTTTGTAATCTATTTTTTCAAAAAGCAGTTTCATGTTTTCATATTCCTCATCTAAAATTGTTGAAAGTCCAGTAGAAACGGACGTACACGGATTTCCATTATGAAGGAGAGCTGTCTTCAAACTGCAAGTAGAGAAATCTATAAAAAGTTTTCACTCGCCTGGATTATAAGTTTTAAGACCTAAAGCAGACATTAAACCTGAAGTAAAATTTACCTCGGGAGAAAGCGCACTTTTTTCTTACAATCTTGAAGCTAACAGCATCGACTCTTCTTTCGAATTTCCTAAATTTCGATATAAGTTATTCAACTCAGCCTGATTAAACGTACAAGGTTTACCAAACGATGAGCGCAGTTCGTTGCTACTATAAACAACTTCAAATTCATTTTCATCTTTGTTATATCTGTATCTTTGTTCTCTTTTTTCTTTTTCTTCTTCTTTTCTTCGTTTTTTTCTTCTACTGCTTCCAATTTAATTTTTGGAATAGGAATGGGATTATTAGGCATATGAGGAGTAGGTCTTGAAACAGATTGTACGTTTGCATATTTAATAGTGTATTTATTTTTGCTACTGAAGGTACTAATTTGTTTACCACTATGGCACACACAAAAATAGCAATCATCAACGTGATTTTTTGGTTCTTGCCATACTGTGGGAGTACCAAATGGTATACACTTTCTTTCCATTTTTCCAGTGTATTAAACCTACTTTGCACGTATCACAAATCATGTTAGGAACCTAAGTTTTATTTAAATTGGTCAATTCATTATTAAAATATTCTTTGTACAAAAATTTGATAGACGTTATTATGGATTTAGGTTGTTTAGTTGGAACGACATCACCACAAATATAACAAAACTTCTGCGGGTCATTCACACACTGTCGTGAAGACATTTTTTATAAAAATTTAAGTTTTTTACTTAAAATAATACCTAAAAAGCTGTTTAATACGAAGTACTAAGAAAATGTCTTGATTATGTTAATGTTATCTGAAGATTTTCAGTTTATTGTATTGATAGGAACAGAGCTAGTATTTTCAGTTTTCAAACTAATTTAATATAAATGACGAAGGTCTGCCATTCACAAAGATACAAATATTTGATATAACGAAAATACAAAGATAAAGATTGCCAATTTTCTTGAAAATAAAATTGAGCAACTTTACTATGTACTGTATGAGGTGAACATAAATAAAAAGTAAAAATAAGTAAATAAAATAAGTAAATAAGAAAGAAAAATGAAAAATAAATAAATATAATTAAGTAAGAAACAGAAATACAAAATAAATAAATAAACGCTTGAAATGTACCGTAAAACAAAAATAATTAACCTTATCTTTGCAAGGAGATCTCAATATTTTGAATATTTATCCGTTAGCCTGCCATTCAAACACGATCTCTAACACGAATAGTAATATTTGCACTGCTATTATCAAATTAGAACTATATCGTTCGACTGCATCCCTTGAGCTCTTTAGTGAAGTAGAGCAAACTCTGTTATTCCACTAGACGAAGATGCCACCTAGTGGATAAAAGGTGAACTTATTAAAATAGCGTCTGCCTCGAATTTTCCGTAAACTTAAGGTACCGGAACTTTTAACAGTAAACTTCAAATGATATCTT